CCAGTCTCTCAACTGCCCTGTAAATGCTCCTGGCACAGGGCAAGGCGCGTGAGGTCCCACACTCCCCCAACCACAAACAGGAACCTCAGCAAAGTGCAGGGAATGAGATGTAAGCCCTGCTAAGAGTCACCTCCTAGGAGACCAGGGAGTGGGTTCTACAAAGCCACCTTAAGAGCAGATGGACTCGGGCTTCTTAGCACTGCACTCCCGCTGATCACAGCCTGAGAGCTGATGTGGAAAGGAAGGCTCTCTGGGAGGGGTGGGACACCCTGGACACAGAGGCGGGGAGCCCCAGAGCCTTCTGAATTCAGAAAACCCCTTTCGACAGAGAGAGACCGGTGTGCGGGGCCAGCCACACCTGCTCTGACTCAGCGCTGCCAAGCATCCTCCCAGGACTTCCCGAGCCCCCTCCGTGCCAAGCGCCCACCAGGAGAGGGAGCACTGCTGGGCTCAGCCTGCGCAGCGTCCAGAGCATTGACTTTCCAGTAGCTCACCTCGCAGAGAAACGTGCCAGGCCAAGGACAACCTCCTGCCGCAGCTGAGCACTTAGAGTTGACCAGCTGAAAACCAATCCATCGGTAGCCTGGCTAGAGTCATAACTCAAATCCCAAGCTCCTGGATCAGGGTCTATGTGTGGCATGGAGCACGGACGCAGTGCGTAGGGACAGCAGTTCACTTCTGGGGTGTCACGTGCTGGTGACTGCCCTCTCACAGGTCCCACTCCTGCTAGACCCCAGTTTCCACCAAGACCCCTCCCACAGCACTCCAAGCCCCAGCTATGTATTTCTGGCAGGTCTCTGTCATCACCTGTCACTCTCAGCCACCAGTGGGCAGCCCTAACCAGAGGGCCAGGCTGCACCTCATCTCTGAGCATTGGGACCAAACAGACATACCCCGGCCTTGCCTGGTATATTACCACCGATGGGCAGCTCTCTTCAAGGGCCCGTGACCAGGTGGGCTGAAACCCTGGAAATCCCTGGGTGACTGAGGCTGGGTTAACACAAGAGCCAAACGGCAGGAGGTCCCATGCTCAGTGCTGCTCAGTCCTAGCAGGTTCCCACAAAACATGCCAATGGGGTTGGCCCCCAGGCAGACTTTACCAGGCCCAAAAAGTTCTTCTTTTAAAAAGCACACACCCCCAGCACATCACAAAGGCCATGTCATCGCTAATCTGGGCATGGAACATTTACAGGAAGTTGCCAAATACACGTCACTCAGTAAGGCAGATTTATAAGGAATGTTCCCCTGCAAAGAGGTGGGACAAGAAAAGCTCAGAAGCCCCCACTCTGAAGATGGTCTAGGGGTGCAGACAAGCAAGCTGTTCTCAGGGTACGTGGTTGGGCATGGTAACCCGCCACCAGGGAATTTCCCATCCACCTGGCCAGCATCACCCACCGAGGGCCAATTCCTCCTCAAAGATGGAAAACACATGTTCATCCTGGTGATTATTAATATGCTCTTTGGGGATAGCTGGGCAATCTCGGCCAGATCCTGGTAAGGGTCCAGGTCCCTTTCCCCCTTGCTGGGAGTTCTCACCTCCTAGTGACCAGGAACCTCCAGCCAGGTCACTCAATAGAAAGTCATAACCAAACAAGAAACACAGCACTGAGACTTTTGTTTCAAATGCAGACACCAACTATGCTAAAATGGTTCACCTTTCTAAAGCATCCACTCTCTTGGAAAGACTTTACCTAAAGAAAAACAAAAAAGTATTTCACCAACATCAACAAAGCAGGACAAGCTGACAGGTTTTCCTGCACCGTCTCTTCCGGGTAATGTTCAAAGTCAGGATAATCCCAATACTTTACATGGAGAAAAATCATACTGGTGTTTAAAAGACTGATTAAAGACAGTGAATAGAAATATAATTTGCAAATGTCACTTTAATGTTAAACTTTTATGTTATTCATCAGGCATTCTTTTATTCAACTTAGGTAGCTAATACTGTAGCTAATTTTTATTCAGATATTAAAATCTGTGTCACGTAGGAATATTTTTAAGCATTTCCAATTGCTTCTTGGAACTATAAGACCAGTGAATAATATTTTCATTTCAGAATATTTTCCACCATGTTGTAATGAACAAGAAGCTCAGTGTTGGCCAGGCACAGTGGCTCACACCTGTAACCCCAGCACTTGGGGAGGCTGAGGCAGGAGGATTGCTTGAGGCCAGGAATTTGAGTCCAGCCTGGGCAACATAGTGAGACCCCCTCTCCACAAACACACACACACATACACACACACATTAAAAAACTTATAAAAATCTCAGTGTGCAGTTTTAAACCAAAGCAGGAATTCAATTAAAAATGCAGTTCGAATTGTACATCTATCTAAATACAAAGTGGGAAAAAAAATTCCTAAGTGCAGGCAACAGTCTCCCCCAGATGCATCCTCCCACAGTAACGTTTAACACTTCAACTCTTCAGGCCCAGAATCTTCCCAGGACTGACTGTGTGCTTATTTGTGCCAAAATGTGTTAAATTAGACAGGAAGGAGAAGCATAAAATTCAATTCATAATCCAAGGCAAGAATCTGAGCTTTGGTTTGAAAAATGAAAAGCTATGGGGTGACATAACACCCTCCAACCCTTCAAACAATCAAGATATTTAGCTCCAAGGACAGATCTCAAATAAGAGACAGCCAAAGTACAGTCTGCCCACAGGGCACCAGCTCCCAGAAAATGCCACGGCCAGAGAGAGATCTGAGATGGAGATATATCTCCAGTCCAGAGCTCAAGAGCTAGACCACACAGCCTGCCAGGAAAAGACAACCAGAAAAAGGAGAGGTGCAGATGAACCCTGTTCCCTCCCTTCCCCGGAAGCACACAGCCCGGCTGATCTCTGGGATCAGCTGATTCACTGACTGTGCCTCTTGGTGCCTGTCGCCTGCCTGGAAAGGCAGCTACCTGCTGAAGAGGAAATGTTAGGAACACAATTCATAATTCTTGGGACAACCTCTAATATCATGTTCCACCTTTAAAGTGTCTTCCTAAACGAAAACAGACAAGGCCACTCTGAAATTATTCAGCTACTCATGAAACAGAGTCTAGTACTATTTTTCCTTCCTTTTCAACACTGTAAGAAGGGCGATCCTCCAAATGCGGCCTCTTCCGCAGCCACGTCTTGAGGGGCATCTGCTGGTGTCCGAGCAAGTGCTTTCGGCGACACCAGAATGTCACTTAAGACCTGAGAACATTTCTTCAACTGCCTCCCGCCATTTGTCACAGAAAATAATGCTGCTGCATGCCCCCAAAACGCCGTTTCACAAGTGGGTTTCTGTAACTGGTGAGGAAAAGTTACTGGAACCAAACGCCACTCCTCATACAGCTGTCCAGAGCGGAGGCCACCGCCCTCCCCGGGCAGAGGCTCCTGGGGGCCGCAGGCAGGACTGAGAGGGGCTCGGTGGGGCTGCAAAAAGGTAGGCTGGGCGCAGAAGGCAGAGGCGCAGCCCCAAACCACACCCAGCGCCAGAAAGCTCAAGGCTCTGGACCAACCCTTAAGAAGTCGCTGCTAGGAACTGGGAGGTTGGGAGCAGGGAGCGCCGCCACAACAGGCACCAAGGAACCCTGAGTTCCACACCCCCTCCCCGCAATCCCCTCCGGGCCAGGCCAAGGCCGAGCAAGGGGCGCCCCAGGTACCGAAAGCCCTCAACCCAACACTCCTGCAATGCCAAGCAGAATCCCACAACCTCAAACGCTGTGAAGCGCGCGCCAAACATCCGTGCTCCTCTTCCAAACCCACCTCCCGCCTTCTGGAATGGGCGCTCGGGAGGCGAGGATTTCAGGAGACCCCCCCACCACCGTGACAGATCCCCCACGGTGGAGGCGGCGGCCTGGGGGACGCGGGACGGGGACAGGCGGTGAGCGGAAGGAGGAGGGGTAGGTCGGCAACGCTGTGGCCTCCGACATCCGAGCTGCCGGGACGCAGCGCTGGCCCCACTCCCGCCCTTGCTCGCCACGGTGACCCCACCCGAGCCTTGCCCTCCCCCAAGATCTCAGGGCCCGGCCTCCCCGCTGCGCCGGTCCGGGGGTGCCACCCTTGGACCCCCAGATGAGCCCTGGACCCAGCGCCGGGATCCCGAACACCGCGGTGCCTAGACCCCGCGCCGAGAGCGCCCGGCCCTGCTCCGGCTGCAGCGGACACGAGCCCCAGGCGGGCTGCAGGGACGCAGCGCCCGCAGTGCGACTGGCGCAGCCGCCCGAACCCCGACTTCGCGGCGCTAGGAGGGGCGCGGGCGCCCGCTGGGGAGCCGCACTTCCCGCCCCGCCAAGGCTGCTGGGCACCGGCGCACTCGCCCCACGGGCCGGGCGGAGGACCTGTCCGGGGTTCCAGAGGACGAGAGTGGAGAAGAGACGAGATAGGGTCAAGGGCGGGGACGCGAACTGGGGCGAGGTGCGGATCCGTCCTGCTTCGGGAAGGGAGGCCGCTGGCAGTGCCATCAGGATCGTCTCTGGACACGCACGGACGGGTCTGCCCTGGACCCGGGGATTGGGGAAGGAGGGTTCTCTCAGAACCTGGGGAAGTGGGGGGAGGGTTTGTTCTGGAGTGCGGAGGGAGGTCCATTCTCGGCCCCGGACGATGGGGGTGGGGGCAGGAGTGGAATGAGGGGGCGTCCCCGGTGCAGGGAGGGGAGATGGAGAAGTAGTAGGGGGTCGGCTCCGGGCTAGGGACAACGAGGTGCAGGAGGGGACCGTCCAGGACCGGGATGCCGAGGGAGAGGGGCCGTTGTCGGGGAGGGAAAGTGCGCCCTGGCCGGAGAGGAGGAGCAGGACGGTCAGTCCTGGACCCGGGCTTAGGAAGCGGGGAGAGGTTCGGATGCGCCCCAGGGACAGGGCGGGGAAGGTCTGTCCAAGTCGCAGAGAGGAGGGAAGGACGTCGGCGGTGGGAGAAGCGGCTGGCCACTGACAGGCAAAGGGGGTCCGTCTCGGAGGGCGGACGGGCGGTCCTGGGGAGGGCAGAGGCCGCGGCGCGGGGGGCGTCCGGCCCGAGCGGGGCCGCTCACCTTCGGTTTGTAGAGCCACTTTCGGAACCTGTTCATCATCGCCGCGGCGGCCCTGGCCGGGCTCCGGGAGGCCCTCGCCCTCCGCAGCGCTGCGCCCCGGCCCGGCTGCGGCGCGGGGCGGACGCGGAGGCACGGCCGGGGTTCCCGCGCAGTCGCGGGGCGGCTGAGGCAGCGGAGCCGGGGGCGCCGAGCGGGCGGCGGGCAGGTGCGCGGGGCGGGCGCGCGGGGCAGGTGCGCGGCCCTGAGGATGCTCTGCGAGCGGCGCCGGGCGGACCCTCAGACCCGGGAGCGGGCGCTCGGCGCAGGGACCGACGCGGGCACGGGGGCGCGCGGCTCCTCGCGGCTCACTGACACCCGGCGCTCCGCCGGTCACGGCCGCCCCGCGCCGCACATGCGCCTAGGGCGCCGCGAGCCCCGGGCCCACGGAGAGCTGCGGGCGGGGCGGGCGGGCGGAGGCGGCCCAATCCCCGCGCGGCGCCGCACCCCGCCCGAGGCGCGCTCCCTGACGGCGGAGCAGCCAAGAAACTACAAGTCCCGAAGGGTGTGGTGGGGAGGCGGCGCTCGGGGCTCGGCGTCCCGGACCTCGCCGCGGCGCTGTGCATTGTGGGGGTTGTAGTCCACCCCCGGCGCCGGAGCGTGCAGCCGGTTGCTAGGTGACGACGCCAAACAGCCGCGGCGTCCTACCTACCAGGAGCGGCCGGGCGACTACCGCCAACCCCCTCGTCCCCGCTGGCCGAGGAAGCTGCTGCGGCTGCAGGTGGCGGCAGCAGGTGGCGGCTGCAGGTGGCGGCGGCGGCAGGAGGGCTCGGCGGTCCGGAGGCCGGCCAGGTACGGGGGCGGGACAGGTGCGGGGCTTCGCGCCGCTGACTTCCCAGACCCGCCGGTCATTTCCCTCTCGCTCGCTGCTCATCTTCCTCCAAACACCTTTTCCGTCTCCTTCCCAGCTCCCTGATGAAAGTGAACGGCGCCTTTTTTTTTTTAATCGCCACTATCAGCGGTGCGTTCTAAGATGCTCTCCCGCCCTCGCTACTCCCCTACTCCCCTGCTCCCCGTAACGGTGCCCTAATTTGTACCTTAAAATGCTCGCTTCAATCCGAGTACCTGCTCTGTGTTAAGCAGAGAGCTAAAAACCCACAGGTGGCCTCACTTAAACTTCGCCTCGACAGCCGAAGAAACAGGCACAACGAGGCCCGCGTGCCCTGGCTGTGGGGGCTGCCTCAGATCGCGGCGGGTCGGGGTCGGCCTGACCCCACCGCGCTGCTCTTTTCCCTGCCGCACCAGCGCCACGACTCTGTCTAGTTGTGAAACGTGCAGGTGTGGCACACGGGAGACGGAAGTCATGCCCTCCTCGGTTCAGACCTGTTCCTGCGTGTCCTCACTGGCCAGGGCCAGGTGCTCAGAAAGGTCTGTGGACTCCATGACCACTCTATTCTATCAGACGCAATGTGAGCCCAGGCGCGCTGGCATCTGAGATTTCCCTTAGGTGGGGGCAGGGGTCCAGTTCGTTTTTGAGTAACTGGTTGATTTTCCCTGCTCTCCTCTTCCTAGCACGCAGTCGGCCCTCTGAAATGTAAACCCCCCCCCGGAGTTGCCTCTTATCTCCAATTCCTTCCCACCTGTTCTTTCTGGAACCTGCTTCAGATTGTCACTCAACCACTTATCTGAAGCTCTTTATCAAAGTCATCCTTGACCTTGATGTTGCAAAATCCAATGATCAGGGGTCAGCACTCATGTCTTCCTTGAACTGTCAGCAGCAGGTGACCCAGCCGACTGCCCTCTCCGTGACACACCATCCTTGCTTGCCTGGAACAGATCACACTGTCCACTTCCCCTCCTCGCCCCTGGCCACTCCTGCTTCATCTCCTTGGCTGGGTGCCTCCTCTGCTCACCGACTCCCCCCACTGCAGACCCGGGACTCAGTCCTTGGAACTGCGCTATCCACGCCCTCCCTGGGGGATTTCCTTCAGTCACTTGGTTTTAGAAACAAGCATGTTCTCCCCAACTTCTCAAAACCTCCATCTCTAGCTTCAACCCTGAAACTCCAGACCTGTTTACTTGTTCTTCACCATTTGGACGTCTAACAAATCCTCTCAAATGTAACATGTCCCTAACTGCACTCTCAATCTTCCCCCCAACAAAACCTGCTGCTCCCAAAGCCACCATTTCTTCAGCACAGGATCCGGAGTAGACACTTGATAAGCTTGTCCACTGAGTGAACGGCTATTCTCTGTGGGTCTATCCTCGGCCAACTCCAAAGCCTGGGGCAGTTGTATCTGTCCAGAGGCTTCCTTTATCATTCGAGATTGTGCATGGATGAAGGCTGACCTTGGGGAAGTAAGGTATCAGTTAGATTTAGCTGCATGTATTGAAAAATCCTAACATCACAGAGACCTAAACAAGAAGATCACTCATTTCTATAAAAGAGGTCCATGGGGAGGCAATCCTGGCTGGTGTGGCAGCCCCAAAGCCCTCAAGGATCAGCTTTCCTGACTGCCATTCACAACATTTCCTCATGATCCAGGATGGCTGCCCACATTCCTGCCATCACCTCAGCCCAGGGGCCAGTTGCAAAAGAGAAGATAGATATGCCTCTTTCTTTCAGGGAGACTTTCCAGAAGTCAGATACCTTTCCACTTCTTGAAGGTGGGAGAACTTAGCCACACAACCATGCCCCAGCTGCCAGGGAGGCTAGGAAACGCCATCTTTCAGTTGGGCAGAAGTAGACTCAGCTAAAAATCAGAGTCTTCTAATTTGAGAGGAGGAAAGGGAGAGTGGAGACTGAAAAGCAACCACCAAAACCTGCCACACGTGGCTGTGTTTAAGCACAAGCCATAGGGGCATGACTTGGCAGCAACCCTTGGGAGACTGGATTTAATCAGGAGAAAAGACTATATTTTAATTAACACGCATTTGAGATCTTACATAAATGAGGTCTCTTCTAGTGGTTGAGAGTGTTGAACTGTTTTGTGTCTGTTGGAATTTAAACCTCCTCATATCATCCCATTTGTGTCTATAAAAATTTCATAAGAGAAGCTGTAGTCCAGCTCACCTTTTTTTTTTTATTAATTGAAATGGAGTCTTGCTGTGTCACCCAGGCTGGAGTGCAGGGGCACGATCTTGGCTTACTCTAACCTCCACCTCCCCGGTCCAAGCAATTCTCTGCCTCAGCCTTTCAAGTAGCTGAGATTACAGGCGCCCACCACCACGCCCGGGTAATTTTTGTATTTTTAGTAGACACGGGGTTTCACCACCTTGGCCAAGCTGGTCTTGAACTCCTGACCTCATGATCCACGTGCCTCAGCCTCCCAAAGTGTTGGGATTATAGGCATGAGCCACCTCACCTGGCCTAGTTCAGCCCATCATTAAATATAAGATAGTCAAGTCTCAATCAATGGAGTTAATATTAACGAGGAAAAAAAATCATTAAACTTGGGAATTAAGTCCCACTTCCCCATAGATGGTTCTTCATTATTATTATTTTTTATTATTATTTTTTAGAGATGAGGTCTTGCTATGTTGCCCAGGCTGGAGTGCAGTGGCTATTCACAGGCACGATCCCACTACTGATCAGCACAGGAATTTTGACCTGCTCCGTTTCTGACCTGGGCCGGTTCACCCCTCCTTAGGCAACCTCGTGGTCCCCCACTCCCGGGAGGTCACTATATTGATGCCAAACTTAGTGAGGACACCTGATTGACATAGCACACTACAGCCTGGAACTCCTGGGCTCAAGCAATCCTCCCACCTCAGCCTCCCAAGTAGCTGGGACTACAGGCACATGCCACCTCGCCCGGTGGTTCTTCATTATTAAAATAAAGCTGAACTTTGGGAGGCTCGGGTGGGAGGATCACTTGAGGCTGGGAGTTCAAGACCAGCCTGGGCAACATACTAAGACCCCCGTCTCTACAAAACAAAAGTTAAATTCAAGATTAGCCAGGCATGGAAGGCGTGTCTATAGTCCCAGCTACTCAGGAGGCAGAGGCAGAAGGATCACTTGAGCTGCAGTGAGCTATCATCGAGCCACTGCACTCCAGCCTAGGTGATGGAGTGAGACCCTAAATCAGGAAAAATATATATAAAGCTGAGAATTCGAGAATGAATGAATGAATGAACACAGCTGAGATACTGAAAGCAGGCATCAAAACTGGATTTTTTTTTTTTTTTTTTGAGACCGAGTCTCATTCTGTCTCACAGCCTGGAGTGCAGTGGCATGATCTCAGCTCACTGCAACCTTCACCTCCCAGGTTCAAGGGATTCCCCTTACTCAGCCTCCTGAGTAGCCAGGACTACAAGCATGCACCACTACACGCAGCAAATTTTCGTATTTTTAGTAGAGACAGAGATTCACCATCTTGGCCAAGCTGGTCTTAAACTCCTGACTTCATAATCCACCCATCTTAGCCTCCCAAAGTGGTAGGATTACAGGCGTGAGCCACCTCACCTGGCCAGAACTGGATGAATTTTCTTCCCCAAAGTTGTGATTTTTTTGACGAAGTTCTTAGGCTAATTTCAGTGGGATTCAGAATTCAGGCATCTCTTTTCCCTACATCCACCTTCACATACACCTGCTCTGTGCCAGATTCAGGGGTGCAGAAGCCCCACCCCAGAGACCTTCAGGCCCCACAGTGAACCAGAGTTCCAGGGGCAGGGCAGGACGATTTTTTGAGTCAGGCTGGACTCCAGAGGGGCTCTTTCCCCCATCCCCATCTTCAACTTGGTTTGTCCATTTATTCCTTCCAGTTCCTTCCTTCTAGGCCCGCCCTGGATCGGGACGCAGGCCTGGCACGGCCCTCTCACTCCTGCTCGACTTGCGTCACTGAAGGGTGCCTAGGATCAGCCTTTCTCCAGAATGCCCCAGCTCCAGGACAGGGGAGACGGCAGGGAAACAACCCCCCCGGGGACTGCTCCCACCCACTCTAGTGCACAGACCACCCACTCTCATGCCCGCACCAGCCACAGGGAGGGGCCCTTTTCCTGGGTGTATACCCAGTTCCCCCAGGCAGAGCTGTGTCCAGAGCAGACTCGAAAAGGCTGGGGCAAGGGGACCCCATCCCAGGGCAGCCTTACCCACAATGAGACTTGGAGGCAGGGCAAGAAAAGTCACTCTTTAACAGTATTCCTGTAAAAGTAGACTTTTACATTGCTTATTTATTTATTTTTGAGACAGGATCTCACTGTGTCACCCAAGCTAGAATGCGGTGGCAGATAGCCCACTGCAGCCCCGACCTTCTGGGCTCGAGGGACCCCCCCACCACCACCTTGGCCTCCTGAGGAGCTAGGACCACAGGCAAGCCACCACACCTGAGTCATCCTTTAATTTTTTTGTAGATCCAGGGTCTCACTTTGTTGCCCAGGCTGGTCTCCAACTCCTAG